TTTGACGGACAATTTGAATAAGCTTAAGTCGGAGTCTGTTGAAAAAGACAAGAAGGTCGAAACAGCTGAAGCTCATGTTGTTGCTCTACAGAAACAAGCTGCAGATCTGCTTCTAGAATATGATCGTCTATTAGAAGATAACCAGAATCTTCAGAACCAAGCTCATGGATTCCGCACTTGAGAAACTTGATGGAATCGAACTAAGAAATTTAGAAATTTGTTTTGGTAATGGATGATGACAATGATCACGATCAGCCAGCTCTTGATGTTTCAGTGTTCACGTAGAATGGATTTTAGCAGCAGGGTTTAGCCGGTTCATACAATATTGTTATAGTTTTTGCAAACTTTGTCATCCTGATTTTGGTTTCTCCAATCCAACTTTAGGATATCTGTTTCAGTTTTTCCGACTGAGGAGGTGACTTGATTATGTGGATGAGAAGTTCACTTGTAACGTTCTTTTATTTCTCAGAATGGATAGATTTTGTTGGAAGAACTTTTGGCTCTCGTTGGATGGGCATTTGATACCCCTTTCTCATTGTTTTGTTATATTGACTAGTTTCATAGTTCCTATTGACATTTATAGAATCTTCTTTGGCTTTCGTTGAACCAAAAATTAAAAATACAAGGATAAAATCGTCAACTGAATGTTTTGCACTCATCTGCACTTTATAAATATGATGATCCTGCAAACAGATCGAAGCTCATATATTTGTCTGCACGACAAACCTTTAGTTACAAAATTTAGTTTCAAAAGTTTCATTAACCTGCGATTGAAATTCTGTTTTTAAGTATATAACAGATAAGAGTACCAAGAAATATCATGACAAGCGTAACTTCCATTTCTTCAGAGATCTAAAGCTTATACTTCATATAAACGCAAGAATCTAGTTCAGTAAAAATCGATTCCCATTCAAGGCTATGCAAGGATATGAACTTGACACGAAAAGTCTGACCTTTGCGGTGTCAAGTTCAATTCTTTTTCAGAAGCCAATTTCTATCTGAATTGAGTTAAAAGGGATGGGTAAAGAAGTACAGCTTCAAGAACACGGTTATAGAAGATCGATATGGAATGTATATATCAAACGACTAGGAAACCGATTTAACAAAATAAAGCAACTAATCACTACAAACTTAACGTTCTCCAATCTGTTTTGCAAATACAAAGATCATTCCAGTTATCTGATAATAAATTGAAAATTACCCCATATACCGGACTTGCAGCATCTAAAGATTGACCGGTAATCAGAGAGAGGAATGATCAATAAGATACCAAATAACCTCATCCCACTAGGATATCAGACTTTCGACTCCAGTGCTAGAAGTATCTTCTTTCTTGGACCCTGAAACCATAGAAGCAACCACCCATGAGATTGAAATTAATAATTGGAAGAAAGTCGATAATGCAAGGAAATGGAAGTCCCTTCTTGGCATAAAGACTAGCCGATGCCATCTAAGTATGCTCTAGGTTAAGAAAAATTATCAAGATCGGCTCTGAAATATAGTACTATTTTAGATATGTAATGAGAAGTGAGCTTCATGCGAATTAAAAGTAGGCAACTCGCTCCTTGAAGAAGTCAGAAGAAGATAAAATACTAGCATGTTCAATAAAACTAGCTCTCTTCTCCTCAGCCCATTCCAAACATATTCCACAATTCTAAGTTCAATCATTCTTATTCTACCTAGCATCGGATATTTAAATTGGCAAGAAACATCCGAAATTTAAGATTACTAGCATAAAGTAGTAGTAATCATCATCGTGCTTATTAACGTTGTTAATATTCTTATTATGATTACTAGTATTCTGGTTTACTCAATATTTTCTAGCTATATAAATTGAACTTAAAACAATGTATCAATGATTCACATGGTGGGCCAACCAAAATTTCATAATTACTAATAGTTATTTATTTTAGTTAGAAAGGGTGGTTAACTATATAATAGAAGAAAAAGAATTACAATAAAAATGTAATATTCCCTCCGTCCCATAAAGATAGTCAGATTTCTTTTTTCACACAGATTAAGAAAATTTAGTTAATATAGTTGAAATAATAAATTTTAATATCATTTTTCCTAATATAACCCTGTAATAATGCAATCAATATTCAAGGTAATTAAATTATGCATGTAATATTCAAGGTAATTAAATTATTCTTGATACTAAACATTTTTTAATGCAAGATTTATAGTAATTAACATTCCAAAGTCATCCAATACAAATGCAAATGAATAAATGTCATGAGAGATGATTTTATTTTTTTAGTTTTTAATTTATTATTCTAACTACAATTGAATAATAGAGTGGTTTATATTTGTAATAACAAAACACATTAAATAGAGACATATTAGGAAACTAATATATTAACTACATTCTCAAATAAGAAATATGACTATAATTTGGGACAAACCAAAAAGGAAAATGGACTATCTTTATGGAACAGTTGGAGTATCGAATATGTTCTCATCGCCCATTTTCTTAGCACATTTAAGAAAATTCTAAAACAATTACTCATCATTAACCCAAGACAAACAGAGATGTAAGCCAACCATTAACAACATTTATAACGACCACTGTTACATTTACGATAATCCTTATCACATTCTTAAATCATTATTTGGAAAATGGATTATACGTAACTAGGGATGCAAGTGTTGATTTACTTGTTATGGGAGCTCAAAATGCCAGAAAATGTACATGGTCTAATAATGGCCAAGCCTGACAATACATCCCCAAAGTAAAAAGAGAAAATAACAGAGCTCTCCTGAGGAAATCCATTAAACCCAACCTATTCATAACAATGATTGTGTTAATTCGTATACCCTCAAGGCTCAAACTCAGCTCATTATTTGACTAGCTGAAGAAGCTCGAGCCAGTTTAAATCTGGTCCATTTAATGATTCTAGATCCAAAAGCTCCATTGACTCAAAACCTTCCAAAGAATTTTGACAGTTCACTTTCCAAATGAAACCACCAAACCAGGGCGTCAAATCTCTCTTCACCTGATTTTCCTTCTCAAAAACCGACCTATATCCCACTCAGGTTTCAGCAAGAGAATATGGTCAGCGGTAGAATATAGCTTAAGCAAAACAGAAGGTAAACAAAAGAAAGAGAAAAAAATGACAACAGGGAGAACAATCAAGAAGAAAATTGTTTAAAGGAAAGCTAAGTGAGAGATGGATCTTGGAAATAGTTGAAGAGTGACCAGATTTTCAGCAATAGCGCCCAAGACCTTAGCAATGATATGTTCGGCAATAAAGATAAAAGAAAAATTGCCAATTATATAAGCTCATCCATCTAAGAAGATGAACGAGAGGAAAGCAAAATAAACAGTGCATAATTAAAAGGAATACTTCAATTCTGAACAAAAGTAATGAACATAGTCGTGACACTAAGTGTTAACAAAGACAATTTGATATAACAGTGGAATCTTGAATGCTCACCATTGGTATTCCCAAAGCTTTCAGGTCTTCATCACCCATGTGTACTAGGGCTGTCATATCAACCTGCCAAAAACAACAAAAGTGCCTAAATAAATAATTAATGACCTTAGCCCATATATACATAAACTAAAACAATAGATCCACGTACTTCTTCAGCCTGAAACGTAATTGAATATTTCTCGAGACCAAGGGACTGCAGGAAATTATCCACTGATTCAGCCTGCATTGAAGATGTGACCTTCAGGGGTGAATACATAATTGTAAATTACATCATTGTTTTTGTGCAATTCAGTATCACCCCCCCACCCAACACACACACATATTTTTTTTCCCTTTTCCCAGAAACCAGAGGGGAGGGGGGAAATCATAAAATATAAAGAAAGCAATCAGATAAGAGAAGACGTGGTATGAATCCTGCCTTCTGCTGAGTCTTCTTTTCAGAACCTGGGCCAGCAACTCTTTTGGTATCTGGCACAGTGGCTTCAGCTATGGCACTTTTCCTGGTAGGTTTACCGACGTCAGGAGCTGGCTTCGACCTCGGCTGCAGAGGCTTACCTTCCACTGCCCGAGAATATAATGAACCGGAGAGCTTCTCCCGCAGATCCCTTGTACCTCCTGAAATTGACCCCCTCTCACTTTGGGAACCTTGATCGTTGCTCTTTCTTTGGAGCTTTAAGCGAAGATCTTTCACACCAATTCTGCGGTCTACGCAGGCCATTAACTTAATATTAAAGCTGCATAACAAAAGTAAACAGAGCAACAATATATTTCTTGCAAACTAAAGCAACATAAACACTGTATACTTGGAACTTGAGGTTCATTCTCCTCAAAAAGATCATGTTCCCATTTGTCATCATCTTCTCTTTGCCTGCACAAGAATTAATTTGCTAAATAAAAAGTGTTTTTTTATCAGTAAATGCAAAAAAGGCTCCCATATTGTTTAATACTACTCCCCAGAGATGGTGCTCTGGTTCATTGGCTAGGTGAACAGATGTTTAGCGGAATTAACTTAACACTCCCTTTCCATAGAATATGACTGGCTCGTATACACCTCAAATTATTATCAGTACTTAATATCCTAGAAAGGGCACCCAAAAAAGGATTATTAGTTTTCTTTTTTCGATTCTGAGTTCTGAATATTAGAAACTATGCATTTTGATCTTACATTATCTTACCAATCCCAAAAATGGGAGTGCATAAAAAAAGAAAGAAAACGATAAAAGAGTCCAAATATTTAACATCAATATTTCTTCTTCCCATTACAATTAGTAAACAACCCCGAATATAAATTTCCGGCCACTTTTGACAGATCGGTAACTGTATTACTAAAAAAAATCCCATCTAAAAAATAATGCCTAACTAATATGAAGAAAATATACAGTTTTCTTAAGCAAGACACGCAAAGCTATTGCTAAAAACTTATAAGCAAATCAATTCAAATCATAAAACAACAATACAAGACAAGAATTTAGTGTAGTTAGTTCACAGACATAAATAAGCATGTCGAGAAATGAAAAGGGATGACCTCTTGCCGGAGACAAGCCTCCGTCGACCAGAATCGGCGGCTGAATTGCCGTTAAGCCTATCCTTAATCGACCTATTAGCCTGGGCATCCGCCTCCACTCGATCAGCATACATCGCGTGATAGTCACTAAAACTCGCAGGACCAAACCCTATACCTATCCCTAATTATTGTGTGTGTACGAAATGCAAGGAACTATAGAGAGAAAGAGGAAACGAAAAGAAACCAAATAGTGGGTTTTAGATTTTTATCTGTGAAAGAGAAACAAAACTGAACTGTGCGATGCGATGTGGATACCAGATCGGAGTTCGAGTTATGGAGTCATCCCATAACCCTTTTATTAAGTGGAATAATAACATAATTATTTCAAGAGGAATCATTAATTTATGGATCGATAAATGAATAATTATTGATTTTTATATTTTTATAATTTGTATTATATTTTTTTATAATAATGTAAACACACATACATACGTTCAAGAGACAGCATTTATGTACAGGCTTCTAAATTAATCTCTCGAAATATTAATCGTTCAAGTTATTTAGAGTGTGTTTGAGACACATTTTTTTGAAAGAATGTATGATTGAATAGTAGATTGATAACAATCATTTCACAGAAATTTATATAGATGCATTCAGGCCCTGTTTAGTGCACATTTTTGGTAGAATGACACATTTTGTTGATGTGATGGATGGGGAATATGTGGTTGAAAAAGAAGGAAAAATTATTGATGTGATTGAAAATATTATTTTATTGAAGAATGTGTGATTGAAAATAAGTAGAAGAATGAGAATGAAAAAAATAATGTGTACCAAACAGGGCATTAATGTATATGTGGAATAAAATTTCTACAATAACTAGTTTTAACTTAAAGACTTTCAATCATTTCAAATTTCATTTTTTTTCCTACTATGGCGTTTCATTTGAAATGAGTTAAAAAAACTGCAAGATTTAATCAAATGAAGATATTAATGTAGAACTAAAAGTCAGTGAAAATGAAGAAATCAATATGATGGATGTGGAGCATCTTTTAAGCCATTCTAGTGAAAATGACACGATTATGAAATCTCATACTAATGAAAATATTATTCAAGGAGTACTCAATACACCTATCAATGATGATCATGATCCAGATGATAATTGTGTTTTACCAACTGTTTTTTTCAAAAGAGACATTTCTAGTAGTCGTAACCTTAAATAATTAATTTAATTTCAATATTGATTTTATTTTTCTAATTTATTTAATTTCAGATCGAATATCCAATAACATAGCAAATCAGATATAGATTTAGTAATCAAATATCCGTCAAATTATCGGATCGAATATCTGACTGATATCCGATCCATTTAAAGCTCTAGTGGTAGTAAAGCCCTCAATTTTTCACTTCGATAATACTTAATTCTCTAATAGACACTTTTACCACTATATCTCTAATTGTCAAGTCAAAATTTTGTTTAAAAGGCTATTCGTCCTTATTTTTACATAAATAAAATAAAACTATTTATCATGACCATCTAATGTTATCGCCACTAATGATCTCAATATTGGTGGAGCTCGAGCACGGGGTTCGAGGATAAATTTTCCAAACTTGTGTAACTGTCGGGTATGCCTCCTCGGCCACCGTGCCTTCCTCGAAATCATGACTAAACATCGCACCATGCGACCCTCGACTCATTAAAACTCTCTCTCGTATCAAGGCTTATCTAAACCTATAAAAAAGATGGTCCTACTTTTAGTAAGTTACCTTATCGTGAAAGGATTCTATCATCGCAATCTCATTTTTATCCAAACATATAGGTAATACAAAACCAATTGAGTTGCAACTTCCAATCATGTTAGAATTCCAAGAGATTTCAATATTGTGATCCTATTAGAAATGCACTACCCACCTCTATAAATATATCATTCCAATTTGTCGTCAATGTATGCTTTTCACATAATTTTTAGCACATATTTCTTAGCAAATTCTCTATCTGACTTAAGTATCGGAGGGGCGACGAAGACATACCTCGACACCTTTGTTTTGGGTACTGGAAGATCTCGTTTGTACTCATTCTAGTCGTCGAGCTAGAAAATCAACATGCATGATTTTTGGTAACACTATTGGCACCGTCATGACCTCTCCCAAGACAACACATGACAAACATAACATCAACGTCTCATTGTCAACCAATCAAAAACTAGAAATGATTACATATGAGGTAGACAATCATGACCTAGGCCTCAACTATGACCTAGGCAACATGATGGTATGATAGATCAACATCGACAGCCAATCAAAAACCTCAAATCAAGGCAGCGACACACACCTCAATAGAAACGTTGTAGCTGGTATGATTTTTGGTAGCCAAGACAATTGTGGCAAAGGTCTATCAAAAGAAAACATGGCCCTTTGCTAGAGA